TTCTTGCTTTTGAACAAGTCTACACTACCGCGAGGCTTCACTGGAAGTATTGGATCAATCAGAGCAGGGGCGTAACTCGACGGAATCAGAAAAATGGGTGCAGAGTGTCTCCTGTCTCGGCTCTAGCGCGGGTCAGACCTTAGTGACCCGCGGCTGGGAGGGTCAGACTTAGGTGACCCACGGCTAGGAGGGTCAGACATAAGTGACCCGCGACTGGGAGGGTCAGAGTTAAGTGACCCGCGGCTTGGAGGGTCAGACATGAGTGACCCGCGACTAGGAGGATCAGACTTGAGTGACCCACGGCTTAGAGGGTCAGATCTGAGTAACCCACTATTTAGAGGGTCAGACTTGAGTGACCCGCGGCTAGGAGGGTCAAACTTAGTAACCCGCAGCTTAGAGGGTCAGACTTGAGTGACCCGCGGCTTGGAGGGTCAGATCCGAGTGACCCGCGGCTTGAAGAGTCAAACTTGAGTGACCCATAATTTTTGATCTTTTCGGCTGCTATCTTGGACTTTGGCCTCCAAATTTGATACATTCTTGGTTGTTTCTTGGCTATGTTCTTCTTTTGCATCTTTTGTGCCTTTTGCACAAGAATTCACGTCTGCGCAAGCAATGCACGATGCTTCTGGATTCCCTCCTCAAGAGTTGAACGGATCCTTTTAATTTGGATCCATTCGCTTGTTGATGATTTGGAGGAGGGAGTGTTTGGTCACTGTTAGGGCGCTTGACGCTTCCTGAACTTTAGATCCGACTTGTAAAAAATCTCGTCAATTGGCTCTAAAGATTTGGCGAGCTGGCGCGTGAGGCGTTGACGTTGCCTTTGACGTGCCCTCTTCGATAAGATTGGCGCGCCTTCAGTACTCAACTCCTTGATTGAGGAGGAGTCTAGATCTGCAGATCCGGCCTTGTTGAAGGCCGGAGAGGCGTTGCAAGGTGCCGCTACTGTAACAACGGGGGCATTGATCTTCCTACGCTTGCGAGTGGAGGAGGATCTGGAGGAGGAGAACGACAAATATTCCTCGAACTTGGCCTAGTCGAACTCATACTCGACCTCTTCGTCAATCTGGATCCGGATCCGTGGTTGCGACATGATAGCTTCGGCAGCAAAGCTATTGGCTCCCACTGTGGTCGCCAGCGTGTTTGGGTAGAAACCTGTTTTCATTACTGAATTCATTATAACTTCGGACGTTACAATAAACTCAAAATAAAGATAGCCTTTTTATAAGACTTTCAATACAATGAAAATAAATTACAATTCTCTTTCAAACAACACGCAACAGGTATTTATCGCCTATTACTTGCGTGGGATCTTTGCCTGTGTCGGGGACGTTGATATCCGTGGACCGCCTACGGATCAGATCCGATTGACAGAAGTATTTGATCAGAGCTCCTACTTCACGAAGGAAGTAATCGCTGCAGCAATGATCCCGACCAAGCGAGATCATGGCTCTTCTCGAGATTTAAGACTAAGCTTAAATCCGGAGGAATAGGGGACGGGTCTCAGATCTCTCGAACTTCACTCTTTATGCATAGGAACTCGCTAAGATCTGCTAACCCTCGCTATTAATTCGTGGCTCCACTCTCCAACTCGACAGCGTTTCGCCCTCTTGATCTCCGCTTGTGAAATGAGCCACTATGCCTGTATTTATAGGCTTCGGTTGAGGAGTTTTCGGATAAGAATGGATAATTTGACCCTATCTTCAGTTAATAATGGTCTAACCATGTTTGTGGATGATATCCAATTAGTTGAGACACTCTGAAACAGACAAATCCCGAGAAAATAGCAAAAGAACCATCGAAAACGCGTTTTGACAGTTCTGAACACGAGACAGACCGCGGTGACCCGCACATGCGCGGGTTACCATTAGGTGACCCGCACGGTCGTGGGTCACCAGCAGGTGACTCGCTCGGCCGCGGGTCACCCGCAGGTGACCTGCGTGACCGCGGGTCTCCAGGCGGTGTCCCACATGAGCGCCGGTACCGAGCTTGTTTTGACGTTTTCAATGTTTCTCGGCTGTTCCGGACTTGTATTTTCTGCCGTTTTGCGTATTTGATCGTCTTGTTGACTTGCACGCGTCGTTAACTTGCTTCATGTGCTCGTTAGCTTCTTTACAACACTTGGAACTGACCGACAAGCGCGTCGGGCACTTTGGATCTGACCGACGCGCGCGAGCTGACTGACGAGTGCGTCTAGTCACTTGTGGCTGACTGACGTGCGCGAGATGACTAACGCGCGCAGGCTGACCGACAAGTGTGACGGTCAATTAGAGGTGTCCGGTGAGCGTACGAGACATAGTTGGTTCGCCATTCCCGTTCATGCACTTGTCGGTGTCAGATAATCCTCCTAGACTCGGATAACGACGTTCGTCATCTTCCCTCGAACTGTGTGCAGACACCTATAGGCATTTTTAGATGCATACAATAATATAGATAAAATAGGATTAGTAAGTTAACATTGCACTCAACAAAGTGTTTATCACTAAATAAATATGCTTGGGCAATTAAGAGGGAAAGAAAATGGGAAATACGATGCTAGTGTAAATTGGAAAAGCAACATTACTTGTTTTTTTTAAATAAGTATGTGTTGATTCGAACATCATTAAAAGTACTTAGATGGACACTTTAGGATTAAACTAACCTCTTAATTATTACAAAGTTAAATATTATTCAGCTTAATGATGTCTGTGGCTTAAATCTACTCTAATAAATAACACAAATGGCTTGGTGAAATGATTGGCAAGAGAACACCGGGAAGCAATATCAAACTAAAAGTGTTAAAAAAAGTTTTAAAATAGGATTAATTGTAGCTAGACCCATATATTATCTCCCAATTGTGGGTATACTCTCTTTTGTTTTATTGTTGCATATAGCCTCTGAGTGAAAACTTTTTCACTCTTCTATGCTTAGAGAAAGAGAATATTATTCTTTTCGATAAATATGGCTCTTGACGATAAAAGAGTGAAAGAAGATTCAGTCACGGGTCCATATGCAATGGGTGATGGTACAATGGCGATAGTCTATATGCAAGGGTCTATATACAACAACATAACTATAAAGGGTCTATTAGCAATTGAGTAATAGTACAGGAACTATCTATAATTAACCCTTTTATAAAAATATACTACTAAAAGAAAGTAATGATTTATTGAAATTATTCTTTAAACCGTTTTTATTTGGGGAAATTACTTCCAGCACCCAATTTCTTTACAAGTATTCCCCCTCCTCCCAAAGACTTTTTTAAAGCTCACAAAACCCCTAAAAGTAAAGTCATAATTCCCTGAGCCCTCAAAACACAAAACCTAAGAGTTTAAAACATGTGAAGACCATAATACACTTTTACTTTCTCTCTCTCTCATGATGTTACTGTGACGATTTGAAATGGGTTTTAGGGGGAAAAAATTCTAGTTCCCTTAAAAATTTTCCAATGGTGTCGACATCAGTGGTGAAACTTTCCCGTCGTTCATTCATGAGGGGAAGAAAACTACGATCTTGAAGACGGCGATGACGAGTTGCGTCGCCAACCCCCTTAAATTTACATATTGTTGTAATGTTTTTAAAATCGATGACCGAGATTAAATTAGATTATGTAAATTTATATATTGTTGTTATTTCAATGTAATAAGTTTGTTGTTAAGCTTATGAGTTGGTGGTGAAGGAATGTTACGTGTTGGTTTTGAAGGTTACGAGTTGGTTGTGAAATTTACGAGTTAGTTGCCAATGGTACGAGTTGGTTGTGAATGTTACGCGTTGGTTGTGAAGGTTAAAAGTTGATTGTGAATGTTACGCATTGGTTGTCAAGGTTACGAGTTGGTTGTGAAGGTTACGCGTTGGTTGTGAATGTTACAAGTTGGTTGTGAAGGTTACGAGTTGGTTGTGAAATTTACGAGTTGGTTGTGAATATCAATAAGGAGTTGGTTGTGACGGTTATGAGTTGGTTGCGAAGGTTCACAACCAATTCGTAACATTCACAAATAACTCGTAACCTTCACAACAAACCCATAACCTTCACGACCAATGCATAACCTTCACAATCAACTCGTATCCTTCACAACCAACTTGTAAGCTTAACAACCAACGCATAACCTTCACAATCAACTCGTAACATTGACAACTAACGTGTAACCTTCACAACCAACTCGTACCCTTGGAAACTAACTCGTAAACTTCACAACGAACTCGTACCCTTGGAAACCAACACGTAACATTCCTTCACCACCAACTCATAAGCTTAACAACAAACTCATTGCCGAGGTTCACAACCAACTCATAACATTCACAACCAACTCATAACCTTGACAACCAACACGTAACATTCACAACCAACGCGTAACTTTCACAACTAACTCATAACCTTCAAACCCAACACGTAACCTTCCTTCACCACCAACTCATAAGCTTAATAACGAATTTATTATAGTGAAATAACAATAATATATATATATATATATTTACATACTCTACTTTAATCTCAAGTCATCGATTTGAAAAAAATTACAACAATATGTAAACTTAAGAGGGTTGGCGACGCAACTCGTCATCATCGTCTTCAAAATCACAATTTTCTCTGCCTCATGAACGAATACCGGGAAAGTTTCACGGCTGATGTCGACGCCGTTGGAAATTTTAGAGGGAACTAAAATCCCCCCAAAACCCATTTCAAATCGTCACAGTAACATCAGAAGAGAGAGAGAGAGAGAGAGAGAGAGAGAGAGAGAGAGAGAGAATTATGGTCTTCACATGTTTTAAACTCTTGAGTTTTATGTTTTGGAGATTCAGAGAATTATGGCTTTACTTTTGGGGGTTTTGAGAGCGTTGAAAAAATCTTTTGAGAGAGAGGGGAAGCAGAATACTTGCAAGGAAATTGGGTACTAGAAGCAATTTTCCCTTTCTATTTTCTATTTGGCAAACTTGACGCAAACAATGTACTCTCACGAGGCACCAAAAAGGCAGGCAAACTCATATCAATCTCCCTCCCCACCCCTCCTCACCAAAATCGCCATTGTCTGCCCAAAAATTCATAAAAAAAACCCAAATCTTTGATCTATTTACATATACACCCTCCTCTTCTTTTCTTCTACGACTTCTCTTTCTCTTTCCAGTAAAAACAACAAATAAAGGAAACGAACTTTTTCAACAATAATCTTTTCCAATATATCTATATATATCGAGCTCGTTCATTCATTAACTCAACAGGGTTCTTTCCTTTTTTAAAATCAATGGCTTCTTCTTCGTCTCCTTTCCTCTCTCTTCTCCTACTCATTCCCCTGTTTTTCTTCTTCTTCAACTCTGCAAACGCCAAGAGGAGCTCCAGTGATGGCTCCGAGGAATGGGGCTATGTTCAAGTTAGACCGAGTAAGATTTTTAATATTTTTTTTTCACTTATTTGTTCACAATTTATTTCCTGTTTTCCATGAAAATGCAGAGGCCCACATGTTCTATTGGCTCTATAAAAGCCCAAATCGAGTCGATAACGGGTCTACTCCATGGCCAACTGTACTCTGGTTGCAAGGAGGACCTGTAAGAATTCAACATTTCTTCTCAAATTCAATGAAAAATTAATAACAATAATTATACTTATTCAATTTGGGTTTACTGTAAAAGGGTTCTTCTGGTGTTGGGCTTGGAAATTTTGTAGAGGTTGGACCTCTGGACACTAATTTGAAGCCGAGGATATCGACTTGGTTGCAGAAAGCCGATCTCCTCTTCGTGGTAAACTTTTTATTATAATGCAAATGTCAATTGCGTGCAACTGTAGTTACTGATTGTTGTTGCATACACTTATAAGTTCTTTTTTTCAATAACCCAATCCAGAATCGAACCCAGGCCATGGGAGCTATATTGTAAATGTCTCTTAATCGAAGTTTTTTGTGATTTTGAATTTTTTTTTTCCTTCAGGATAATCCAGTAGGAACTGGATACAGTTTTGTTGAAGATCAGAATGCATTCGTGAAGACCGATGAAGAAGCTGCAATTGATTTAACTACACTTTTAAAAGCTTTGTATAAATCTGATGAGAGGCTGCAGAGGAGTCCCCTATTTGTTGTAGCTGAATCTTATGGAGGAAAGTATGCTGTTACTCTTGGATTATCGATTGTTAAGGCGATTAAGGCTAGAGAATTGAAGCTCAAATTTGGAGGTAATAATTTGCTATGTATATGTTTTTCCCTTGGAATTCCCGTCATTTTTTTTGCGTGACAGATTGATTTCTGATGCAATAGGAGTGGCTTTGGGAGATAGTTGGATCTCACCAGAAGATTTTGTGGTTAGTACTTCTTTATTATTTCGAAGTTTTGTTTAGAAATTTCAAAAGTAGATTTCTAACTTAAGAACCATTAACAATAATGTGATTTTAATTATAATGCAGTTGTCATGGGCTCCTCTGCTTAGAGATGTTTCGAGGATGGAAATTGTTGGGGCAGAAAAGGCTAACAGGTTAATATCATTCATTTCTTACAAGAAAAATCACTTTGGTACCCCAAAGTTTTTTCACTTCGACACCCTAAAGTTTAAACATCCCATGTCCATTTTTTAGATTTTCTGTTAAATTTGTATTACATTTTGGTCTAGTTACCCCGATCTTAGGGATCTAAACGACAAAACTTTCCAGTAGCAGTGGACGGGGTATCACATACGAAACAATTTATGTGAATATAACAAGAAATCTAACAAACTCTGTATGAGGGTATCAAAGTGAAGCATGATTGAAACTTTAGGGTATAAAAGTGAAAAAGTGTAAACCTTGGGGTGCCAAAGTGAAAATAAGCAAATAATAATAAAAATAATATATAATAAAATTAAAACAGAGCATAGGTTATCTTTTGATTTTAATGAGAGCATGTGTTTCATTATCAGTTTAGCTGAGCAAATCAAGCAACAGATAGCAAATGGACAGTATGAGGAGGCAACTGCTGCTTGGAGCAACCTCGAGAATATAATTACCAAGTACTCTAATTCAGTGGTAAGTTCTCTGATTTATTTCTCAATTTAATGTTAGATTGTGAGTTCTACTTTCGTCAATTATGTGCAGGATTTCTATAATTTCTTGCTGGATTCAGACCAAGATCCTGTATCAACTACCACTCTCTCAATGACAATGGGGACGTCTATGAACAGATATGCAAGGTATCTGAGCTCTAAGGCTGATTCGTCCAATGGTGATATTGACCAACTCATGAATGGCGTAATTAAGCAGAAACTGAAAATAATTCCAAAGAATGTAAGGTAATTTTCAGCTATCAAACTTCTTAATTATTACTAGACAATGATTTTTGTTTCCTGATTAAGAGTTAGTTTAAGCTCATTATGTGTCCTTTTTTGTAGCTGGGGAGGGCAATCTGATCTTGTCTTCAGTGCACTAAGCCATGATTTCATGAAACCAAGAATTGCTGAGGTAAGCGTTAAAAGTCTCTTTTCAAGGGCTGCCCTTTTCAGGGGTCCAAAGATGGACTATTTTATGTAGGTTTGCTTGTTTTTTTTTCTTTAAATGCCATACATGCTTTTACGGTGCAAATTGAATAAATACGTGTTTCTCCGAAATTACCATGAACATTGAGAGTTATAATTTTACATTCTAAAGCCAAAAATAGTTCAGTTCATGAATTGGAGAGCTTGACCAATTCTGAATTGGTTAAAGGTTAAAATTTGACCTAACAAAACCAATTTAAGTTACCCCTCTTGGGTGGGTGGCAAGTCACGTACTTTCGTAGCAAAAGGCCCGGCTTCGAGGTTTGCCTCCGACGTCCCTTAAGTGTCCTACTAACCTGCTGATTGGGCTGGATAGGGGGGTGGACCCACTTTACCCGACCTTTATTGATAAGGGCGGGGGATTCGAACTCAGCGCTCGGCTCAGGGATCCTCCTGCCTTACCATGTTTCCCTCGTATCCCCCAAAAAATAATTAACTTAATTCCTGATCCACTTATATTTGCCAAAGTAGTGTCAAGACTAAAAAAATGATTTTGTTCCACTAAAGCAGTTTAAGTTGGAGGTGACCTAGACTCAATAGTATTAGTTTCTTCAGCTAATAATTACAGTTGGATGCAGGTTGATCAGCTACTGTCCCTTGGAGTCAATGTCACTATCTACAATGGACAGGTATAATCAAAGCTCCCATTAATTCTTTCCATTCCTGAAGTCAATGAAGGAATGGTGTTAGTATGATCACCACTAGCTCAACTCTTAGTCAATGAAGGAATGGTGTTAGGATAATAAGACAGACCAAATTGAGACGTTGAGCTCCACTTTGGGTCTGATTGAGAATGGGCAATAGGTATATGAAGCCCACCATGTGGTTGTGGTTGCATTTGTGGTCCAATTGCATAGTCGTGCGCTATACGCATTGCTTTCCCTTTCTTCTACCAATAGGATTCCCTTGAGTACAATTTTGATTCATCCAAATTATAGGGTTGATTTGACTTAACCCCCTGAATTTTGGAGGGTTTTGCACTTAAACCCCCTAATTTTATTTATTCTACTTAGTTCCTCAGAATTTTGGAGTGTCTCACATAACTCCTTGGCTTTGAAAATTCCCTTCTTGAAAAATAAGCTACTCCTGTAGATGAAAAGGGTAATTTTTAATAAAATGAGTACATTTTCGTTCTATGGTCTAGTTGCCCCATCATCATCCAAAGTTGAAGGGGTTACTTTTGGGGGTTAAGCGAGACAATTTTTTTTTTTTTTTTTTTTTTTTGGGTGGGGGGGGGGACAATTTTTTTTTTTTTTTTTTTTGTTTGGATGGTGGGGTGGGGGTACATGCATCAAGTGGAATAAATAAAGTTTAGAGGGTTACATGCAAAAGACCCCAAAGTTGGGGGTCCTAAGTGAAACTAGCTCAACGTTATTTTGCAAATAATTCCTATACCAATGTGAAAAGGATAATGTTTTACTAGTAATGTGTATACAATATTAAAGAGTTTATTATAAGTAGAAGAACATTGCAGAGTCAAGTTTGTACTTTTGCCCCTTCAATAACAATTGGTTTAGTCTGTCGTCTCTTGTGACCGCTAATGCTAGGCTGGCTGTTACGTTAGATACTACTTGGCTTAAAGAAAGATTGAGATTCTTTAGCACATCTGCATCTAGTACAAAAACGTGCAATTCTGTGTTAGCTTACACAAAATCAAACTCCATTGATCTTTTTATTGTCCCATGCATAAACTATAAAAAATAAAAATAAAAAAAAGATCTACGTTATTAAAGAAAGTGATGCCCCACAAAACTGGACCCCTGAATTCTGATCCTTTGATTGTTCCAACTCTATAATTTTAAGGTCGAAGACTCACCAGAGCTCGCAAGAGTTCACATGCTCAGCAAGCTGCGTTATCTTTAAATTGAAGATGAAGACAACAAAGACTTTTAAGATATTGGCTAAGGGACATTATTTATTACAACCATATAAAATTTCCAATAACATGTTAGTGACATACAAATAACTTGTCTGAGAATCTGGTATCTAGCTATGCTAACAATTATTATTACCACGTGCTTTGGAAATATTTCAACCAGTAGAAAAATACTCTTACGGTTATCAATACGAACACAATTACTGAGGGAATGCCAACTCTTAATTACTACAAACCTGTATTATTTTAATACTACAAAACATTTGTCCGTGTTTCCGGTCTATATTTGTGTCTTGTAATATCAAAACAGTACTATAAATTAATGTTACAAATAAAATTTCTTGTTTACTAAAGAAAGAACTCAATATAGATTTTCATTTGGTTTTGTATAGGTGGATTTGATTTGTGCAACCAAAGGTACAGAAGCCTGGGTTCAGAAACTGAAGTAAGAATCCTAATTAATCTTCACTTTTATGCTTGGCCATTTTCATGTTGCTTAATGTTGCTTAACTAATACATTAAGAAACAAAATTAACTTAGTTTCTTGCTTGTTTCAGATGGCCTGGACTTCAAAATTTCAACAAAATAGAGAGAAAACCTATAGCCTGTGAAGGTGTTGTAGGCACTAAAGGCTTTGTCAAGTCCTATAAGAACCTACATTTTTATTGGGTCCTTGGAGCAGGCCATTTCGTAAGTATCTACCATTTTGCACAGTTCTGCGTTAAGAAAAATATTAAAAACTGTTTATAAGATAGAATAAGTTCTAGATTCTCAAAAAGATGGAATTGGTTCTTAGCAACACGCGTAGCTTATTGAACTTCAATTCTATGGTGGAATGGTGATGAATACTTGTTGGCCTGTCTCAATTATTGATTAATTGTTGTATCTGTTGTCCGGTAGAGATGTTTAATTATGTACTTAGGCTTATATTTTACACTATATACATCATAAATAGTGATTGGTATAGACTCATTGTGCAAGTATCAAGTTCCAAAAGTATTAACTCACCCTTGTAATACATAAATAAAATTTTTTTTGGAAGGAAAGTTATTATCAACTTAGGACTTGAGTACATATCCACTCCTCTCCTTGACCTGTTAAATATCTATTTTAGGGTAAATTTCTCAAAATCCTCAAGTTTGGGATGTTTTCGACATGACCTCCTAAATTTTATAAATCAAACAAAATCTCTCTGATCTTTCAATATTATACATGATCCCGCAAACACTTGGAAGTTATCATAGCACTTCGATATGATGGATAAAAGCTTTAGACTGCCCTTATTAATATCTATCAACTCTAACCCGAGAAACTCTTTCAGTACAAGTTAATGAAAGTACATATAGTCATATGGTATTTTTGTGGAACAAGTTCAGAAAGTTTTTCACTAATTTATAAATTTTAGGGGGTTTTGTGCAAAACAAC